CCAAGAGCATCTCGACCCTGTAGATTTCCAGAACTACACCGCTTGGATCCTCGAAGAAGAGGCCAAATTGGCTGCTGTGGCCAGTGACGAAGAGGAAGAAAAGAAAGAGGAAGCGAACTAGGCTTCTTCTGAACAGCCTCGCGCAAACAAATCATCCATCCGTTACCCAAAACAACAAAAGGAACTACATCGGGACAAACATACAAAAGGATTCAAATCAAGAAATGGGATTTACTCGATACACGGAATGATACATTCGAAAAATTTTGCAATAACATCGTAACAATTATAACACAAACTTGTCGTCCACTTGCTACTTACAAACTCACGAATTCGTCGTCCTCCTTGTAGCCTCATCCGATAAACATTCTCTTCCAACACTGATACCATACTCGTTACGGTTACGGTACCCGTAACGGTGCCGGTAACGGTAACGGTACCTGTAACGGTACCGGTAACGGTGCCGTCACTGTTACAGAAACACGGCAACCTGTCATAAGCCAACGAATCTGGAGACGAACGCTGAAAAAAAAACGAATTGTTTTTCCTGCTACGGTGGTTCCTGCAGGTATAAGGGTAGGGTTAGAATACAAATAAGTCAGCAAACACTAAGTAAGTATCCTAGCTAGGATGGTGCAAACCAGCTAAAGCAATTTACATCCATCCTAGTAGGGGGATCTGCTTCTACCAGGAAAAACTCTAAAGCCAGCGAAAGCTATATAACTAGTATTCTAGCTAGCTAGGGGTGTCTGCTTCTAGCTTGCTATGGGAATCTGCTTCTAGCTAGGGGGGATTTGCTTCTAGCTAGCTAAGCACAAGTTAAGCACTAGCTAAGCACTAGAGGTGTCTGCTTCTAGTTAGCTAGCTATAGGGGTATCTGCTTCTGCACTGAAACCTTTCTGCCGAGGTTACACAGCTCCGCTGGCTTATTTCCAAAAACGACGGAAAGTGAGAAGTGCCAGTTGGGAGCCGCTCGCCCCACGTTTTAACCCTTAACCTTACTGATTGTTTTTGAAAACCAAATCTTTGATCCCCTCTTGGCGTCTCTCCAGCACTCACACCACACCTCCCTTCTTTTACTTTTTCAGTCTTTGTTTCGTTTACATATATATAACGGTACTACCTAGACTACTAGCTAGCTAGCTAGAGCCAACATCAATAATGTACTATCCTCAGGACGACATGGACACTCCTCCACAACCGCGGTTCTTGGATGACAGTGGCGCGTCCGGAGGAGACGCAACGACACCCGCCAATGACAGCACACCCGGTGGTGGTACGGCAGAGTCGGAAGACGACGAAGAGGAGGAAGAAGAAGTGGCGGATGACGGAACGGCCACGGGTGGAGCGGGTGGTGGTGATCAGGACATGGCAACGCCGGGACATCCGCCACCGCAATTGCTGGTGATTCCGGCCGTCAATAATTTGGATGCACTGTACGGATTGCGCGAAATTGGCCGAGAAGCCCTCTGTTGGCAATTGTCCAGTGCCAAGCCGGGCAATGGCGTGGAACAAATTCGGGATCACTCCACGGAAACCTACTGGCAGAGTGATGGGACCAGTCAACCACATTGGATTCAAGTCCATTTTGCGCGGCGTGTCGCCATTAGTCATGTCTGTTTGTATCTCGATTACAATTTGGACGAGTCGTATACACCACGACGGTTGAGTGTGCAGGTGGGAATGTCCAATCACGATCTCATGCCGGCCATTTTGCCTGCCAATACACTGGTGGAATTTCAGGAACCGGTGGGGTGGTGTATTGTGCCATTGCAGCGAGCACCGGACCCATTGGAAGAGGATGGATCCGAAGACGACACGGAGGAAGACGATGACGAGGATATGGACGATGAGGAAGATCCCAGTCGCAAAAATCACCCCAAACGAGTCGTCAAGGCACATTTGATTCAAATTTCCATTCTGTCGCAGCATCAGAATGGACGAGACACGCATGTCCGGCAGGTGCAATTGTATGGACCCAAAACCAACAGCGCCGCGGCTCTTCGTAGGGTCCAAGCGCAAGGAATTGCCGAAACCGATAAGAATAATCCGGGAATGAGCAGTCGACTCTTTCTACAACGAGGACGACACTGGGACCATGAATATACCACCGTGGCCATGTCGCAGTACTCGACAATCCGCTAATTTGGTCTATTCTCGTGTTGTGATGGGACGACGGAGGGCAATGAGGCAACAAATCAAGCTGGACGTTGATTCATTGGATTTGGTAGTCTACTTCTTTAGTTTTGGTGAATGCCCAGAAAAGTCGTCCTCGGAAGTAAGATCAAAGAATACAGCTGATCTTTGGGTGTTGGGCGTTTCAGCTCATATAATCAGAACCCTTCAGAAGCAATTCTGAGTTAGTAGGTTCTAGCAATTCCCATCTCTCTGTACTGGGGCGTCAGCCGTGTATTTCGTATCAAGGGAACGCAGAGTTCCCCGTTGGGCCATCGCCTTCTTTCTGTTACATGCACTTTTTCTACGTGCTGTGCGTTTCGCATACCAACGTCGTTCGCAGACGTGGAATCTATCTTCTTAGCTTTCTGCCTACCATACATGTTGTCTTGATCCACCTCTCTTCATGGTTGTATCCAAACTGCTCTTCCATCAGTGTAATCGCCTTGATAATAGCACCATTATGAGTAGCCCCAGTCCATTAGCGGGTATCGTACAACGCCCATAAGCTTATTGATCTCACTATATCCTACTAAAAGTATGGGTGGGGGCGTTTCCTGGAATAAGTTGATATTCATTGAATTCCTCCATTGTTTCCGGTTGGTACTGGTACGGTACCAAGTAAACATCAAGGTTGGCTCGATGAGGCCAAACCATTGAGAAGCAGATAAGACAGAATCAAAGATCAACTCATAATAGAAAAGCTATAGATACATTTACTATCTGAAGGATTGTGGCTGCTTGTTCTCTTTGCTCATGAACACCATGCATCAAAAGATTCTGGACGTTTCGTGGGAGAATTTTCTTTGGCAATGTGGCCCACAATAACCATGCATGTGAGCACCCATGCACTCATCCACTTTGGGTGGAGAGATAAACCCCAGGGAGTTGTTCTATATCTTTTTACTTTTTCTTGGATCCAAGCATGCAACTTCGTTGCCATTGGAGCTGCATGGATTGTTGAATCATTCGCTCTCGATTCTCCGTGCCGGCTTCCTTCATGACTTTGCAAAAGGCTTCAATACCTTCGAGGTGACCTTGCATGCCGGAATCCTTGCTTCTTCTTCTGTCCCCATTCCTACTAGTAGTACTAGATTCATCCATATGACGTCCTCGGTTGTCTTTTGGTGATCCCGAGGATGCGTGGCGTTGGATGCGACGTCGCCCCCCAGAGGGACGCTTGGGTGAGACTGATCGACTCTTCTTCTTCTTCTCTCTCGACTTTTTCGTGCCATCTTCTTGGGCAGTGGGAAGGTCCAACACCGCCGTAGCAGGGTCCAGCACCGCCATGGCGGGGTCGGCTCCAAACAGATTCATGGTTTGCTTCGTTTTTTCCCTGTCTCAGAGCTCAGAGTGTGGGAGTACTTGAATTGTGTTCCGATCCTCCGATGATCCATTCTGTCTGACCATCGAGGCCACGTGTACATAACCAGCATCCAACGAACAAGGGAAGAACACCGTTGTAAAAAGATTGGTTTGACGGTACTGTGGGGCTCTGTGTAGACTTTGGCTACCATATTTTTGCTTAGATAGGGCGGAAATACACACTTAACATTCGCCGTTTCGCATTCTTGCAATTCCAAAAGGTGACCCTACTATCACGCTATGATACTTATCAAATCGAAGCTGCTTGCAAGATTGTCTCTAGGTGGCACGTGGCGGATCCAAGCCAGGTGTGCTGTCTATAGATTTTTCTCTTGTTTCATTTTTGAATCTCTCTCAATGGCAGACAGCGAGGAAGCTAAGCTCTGCATGTGTAGGTAGGTTGTGTATCATAGAACAAAACACTATCAAGCACTGCCATGTAATCTTTCTTGTTGGCCACTGCAATGTTGGAATTATTGTGGGATGACAGCCATACATTCTCCATCAGAGGCTCGAGGTGTTTTTTAATAGTGTAAGGAAAAGTGGAAATCCAAAAACTATGTTAGTCAGCACATGAAGAAAGGGTTGAAAGCCGCTTCCTCTCTCTGCAGGCAGCAAGGGGTACTTTGCCCAGCTGCACTGCAAACCTGACATGACTATAATTGCAGCATACTGACTGTCTCTCAGAAGACTCTGGTTTGATTCCTGGTGTCAGTGCTCGGGACCATTTGGATGGCACAGCTGCACCTACTGGTTCAGAAATCTGAACTTGAAATTGGGTGAGTTCACCCCCAAGGGAGACAAATATCCATCAAGCCAGTGTAACCATCTATATGATATAGCACTTTCAATGGTAGTTTGACAGGCTGTCTTTCAGAAGATCTGGGTGTCAATTGCTTCTTTCAGAGTGTGCACCCTTTTGGATTGCATGGATGGGACCATCAATTCAACATCCATATACACAACGGCCATCAAACCAGTGCAACAATCTATCTGATATGGTGTAATGGTAGTATGTCTGGGTTCAATCAGAGTGTGCGGCCTTTTGGATGGCATGACTACGACTGGAATCATCAATTCAAACATCTGTTGTTCAAATAGGATGCATACGCCCAAGAGACACAATGGCCATCAAGCCACTGTCACAATCTATCTGATATGGTGTAATGGTAGCATGTCTGACTGTCTCTCAGACGATCTGGGTTCAATTCCTGGTATCAGAGATCACAGCCTTTTGTTGTTCTGGCTGGAGCCAGCTAGCCTGTGCTGTGCTGTAGCGGCTTTGCTATTGGCTTTCGGTTGTAGACGCGGGAGTAGCCAAACGTGCATCAAGAATCGGTGACTGAAATCTGACCCCCTCCTCATTGAAGTCGCCAGACATCATCGATCAGCAGTCAGGACTCTACCCCGTAGTAACATCTTCGGAGCTATACATAGAAGCAGATGACAATCGTAGCTCAATCCCTCTATACTGGTACCGGTAGCCACCGGTAGCTAGCTAGTGCAGTACAGGCTACACTATGTCGGTATCTATCTTGGATCCAGCTCCAAAACTGCGGCAACTGCCAAACTCTGGATCAAACTTGCGGAAGGAAGAAGCCTGATGAGGTTGGAACAATAGTTCCAGCCTTGACGAACGGTCCGCGGGTTGCTTCACTGTGGTCGAAGCAGCCGCCACTCGTGGTGGATACCCAAGGAAAGCAAGGAAGATTCTCCCTGTGGGGAAGGCCCCGGCTGCGCAAGGTACGGCCGTTTTTTGTGAAAGTCGGCGTGTGGCTTCATTGCAGGTGGGAGAAGCTGCTAGCTTTGGTCATTGCGTTTGCATTCGCACTTCTACTCGCAAGTGATCACATCAGCTCACAAAAGGTATCCCATAAAGTGGACCGATATGCTTCAGTCGCGAAATTGGAAAGGGTGAATCACTGCAAGCAGGAACATCTTGGCTACTTGTGGTACGATTACAACAATTACAAAATAGTGCGACCCTATCCATTCCAGACGAGACCGGAAGCTCACAGTGTCCTCATCGAACAGCACAGTTAACTTAGGAATTACAAAGTCCCCGGAGCACAACCGCATAGCCGTGGCAAACCGAAATGGACAGTGAGCACGAGGCCTACCGGTAGAATGAGAAATTTGATGGATAGGCTTCATTTCTTGATTGAACCGTTCCAGTTTGCTTGTCGATTGCTGCAAGCTGCTATAAGTCTGCTCTTCATGGGGGCTTGGTGTGACATATCAAATGCGGATAAACGAAAAAAGTGTTCGTGTTCGCAGAGGCTGATGTGTGTCAAATGACGACAAGAAGGAGGCAAACACCAGGATGCATGATTCCGATCCAATGGCCATACAGCCCTCCCGATTTAGCTTGGTCTGCATTGGATTGCAGTACGAGAGGTGTGCTTGGGATTGAACAAAGCGGATCATCTGCATGCCACACATAGTCTAGCTAGCTAGAAATGTCCCATGTCTACAACTAAAAACTGACGCCTCGACCTGCTTGTGGACTTCATGTGGGTCCTTTCCGCAGCAACAAGAACAACTGTGATAACTACTTGCTTGGTACCGGTAGGGAAGTAATGCTGGCGTCCGTAGATAATCTGCCTCTCTTGCTAGACCTCGAGGAAGTTGTGACCCTTGAATTCAAGCAAGCCGAGAGAGCGCTGACGATTTATTTCGAATCACAGTGAGTTTTGGGAACAAAGCAGGAACGATGGGATGTGTGGGAGTCAAGTCAGAGGCCCAGGCTCTTTTGCTCATAAAACGACGGATAAAAACTGACAAAGGCAAAATTGGTTGTAACTTCTGGTGATTCTCTTGCTGCGATAACAAGAAGATATGACATCTTTGTCTGAGACCTCGGAACAAAATGAGTCACTGGAAAGGGATGGAGGCGACAGCGGTCTCTTGAAGGATGATGTCTCTCTGACCGAAAAGACTGCTGAGAACAGTCTTAGTCTGGGTAGTCGGGGAGACACCGAGTCTCTGGATGGTTCCATTTCATCTTTGTCTTTTCCTCCTTTTGACACTCACGGCAGCCACCTCAACATCATCAACAGTGCCTGCTTCCATGAATCGTTCAGACATATCGGTCGCGCCAATATCGGCGTAACACACTAACCAAACTACAAGAATCATAACCGAGGACCCCGACTCTCTTCTTTCAGTAGAAGGGATGCCTATACGGCATCCCATGACAGCAGTAACCGTGCTTCCTGGGAATCGCAGTCTCCTGAAAGAACTTATTCAGAGCGTTCTGTGGTCCAACAGAGATGCAGCTTTTGTCCGGAAGACTCCATTACGCTCGATGATTTGGCAGCTTTGGATTTGTCCATTCATACGACTAAACTTGTCAGCAGCTACAGTCAAGAGATACAACCGCAGCAACCAACGTTGGAAACAGCTACAGAGGTGTCGTCGGTCTCTGGTCGGAATGAAGATACCCACGAAGAAGCTGCCATTGCCGCTGGGAACCAGGGAACATCCACCATCAGCACATCATTCTGGACAAGATCAGACGGACCAAAGCTACAGGCATCTTTCGCCACTTTTCTACAGGAAAGGGTCGATACGTTCACCAGGAATATGAAGTTCCTTGGTCGCATTCTCCTTGGAGGAAGCTAAGACATACCGCAGTAATTGCCTCAACTCAGACAGATGAGAAGGTGGCAACACCACGGAAAGGAGGAAGAGTCATTGGGATACCACTATGTTCGCCACATAGTGGACAAAGTTGATTAGTAAACAAAAGAATCCCTCCTTTGTTTGATGGTGCTGAGCGAGTCTCGTCTTGCAAGGTTTCGGTTACTGGAGGTCCGAGGCTTCCAAAATGAATGAATGACTACATTGAGAAACAACAAGCACACAGCTATAAAATAACTAGTGAACAGAAAGCTGTTAGCTCGCGTAGTTTCCACTTCGTTGCCTTCTTTGAACGTTGTTGGCTTCCTTACTTGTTTGCCTTCGCAAGCCAAACTTTGTGCCTTGTGGTTTGATTGACCTTAGTAGAGCTTAACGGGGGGGGGAGTTAAAATAATGCAAAGGGGGTACGTCTACCAGATGTGAAGACAAGGCTAGGAGTACGGTAGGACAGGTCAACTGGAACGATGGAAGCAAAATCAGAAAATCAAGCAAGTCTTGTTCGCAGTTCTGAGGAGGGAGGGTTTGGCAATCAGCCACCAAAAGCCCAGGCTGTGCATCATTGCTTGGACCTGGTTCTGCGCAGTACTAGTAGAGCTGGAGCGATTGTCGAGGTGAAGGGATTATGTTTTCCTCCGTCCCTCGGGTCGCTTGTGTACTTGCTGTACCCGTAAAACTTGGGCAAGTTGCACTATACTAGCTCTGAGTGCTGTTGGGGGTGTAAATTACTCGTTAGTTTAACAAACTATGGCCACGGAGTGGCTTTTGTGACGCGGGCAATGGGTGGGGAAGCCCCCACCTAGCTGAGTCGTCATCTACTTATTTGCCCAATCAACATTGCAGGGACTCCACACACCAATCCCCAGGATGATCAGCAAACAGCTGCCTAGAGCATGAGCCATTCTTGAGAGATCACACCCTTCCGAATAACACCACACCCTACCCCTAATCAGGGAGAGCGTTGTTCTTCACGCCTTGAAACACAGGACGCTCTATCCTTCATAACAACAACCATCCACACAATCTGACTCCCACGCTCCTACAACCAACACTCCAACACACAAAGGATCCTCCCTTCCTGCTCTGGCACCAGGCCCACGCAGTGCCCCTTCTATCCTCCTTCTATCTGACTCACACAACACCTCGAACAGCCCACAAAACTCCAGCAGCACTGTGCCTCCTTGGGAACCACACACTGCCAGTTTGTGTATTTGAACCCTTCTGCTCTGTTGTGCGCTCTTACTAACATTTTGTTGCATTGGGATGGTACAACCTGCTTGGTCCAGCTGGAGTACACTCTCGGTCGTTGGCATCTTGCGCATGGCAACCGTTGCCTTCTTAGCCGCACAGCTTGGGACCTGAATCACCAGATCAACCTTATGTGGCGAGCCTCTTGGTCTGGCAATCTAACTGGTCTACGGTCCCGTATGAATATGTTTGCAATACCGACAATAAACATCTGTGTAAGCCCTGAACTCCAGGTTTTGCGCGCAGTTCCCTATCAATGTGCTCACCCCCTACCCAGGGCACTGTCTACTTGTGCTGGCACCAACGTTGGGCAGTGGATAAGGTC